CTACTTGCAATCTGCAAAGTAGCATTTGCGGTCAGGTGGCTACCAGCTTAAAATCGGTATATAAATGCATACCACTTGATGAATAAATACAAATACTGGAACCGCTTTTGTGCGCAAATGATTTGGTGGCATGTGCCCAAGAGTTTGTCCTATTCTAAGCCCAAATTTGTGCAAGTAACTTTTTATTCTCCAATGGGCCATCAGTGCCACTGGTCTGTTCCAACGACAGTGGTGCTGGTGTATCTGAGTATGTATGGAAGCATCATGTGGCGTTTCTGGAAGGCATCTCTCCATTCAGTAATGAGGCAATGTGTAATTGCCACAAAACACTATCAATCCGTGAGGTATTGCAAGTGTGTGAACATTACATTTTTCATCACCACCTTTTTTCGTCCATTGATAACTCATTGAACAAAGTAATGTGCTGCTTCTATGATTTTTAGCATAGTAATAGGTTTCACCCATCCCACAAGTCTTAATGCCATCATTTACTGTAATTTCGCTTAAAGCTTTTTCTCCGCGTTTCATCTTGCGTGGGACTATGGTACTTTAACTGTGGTAATTAAATAAATTTTGTAGGGTTTAAAATAGCTGTTAGGTTTAGCTTGGATATATTTAAGTGTAATTAACGTAACCACCCAAGATATGCGGAGCCCATTACATCAAATTTACAGGTGATGTGAATGTGCAATAACCAGTGGAGTTGAGTGTGCCACACTTATAAATACCGCACCCCATTTTCTTAACTACTTAAGGGGTACGCTTGCTAAAGAGGGAAAACAAAGGCGCGCAAATTGAATACGTCATAGAAACATTAGTAGGCATTACAGATTTGGATAATACGGAAATAATATAAAGGAATGACGAAATGGGATTACTTGTCACAATAAGCAGAGAATAATAAAGGTTTTGACAAAACTATAAGTTATATAAGGCTGCGTAATATGCTAACGGTGAGATATCCCAATTCGGAAGAAGTAGCAATTAAGCGTAGAACATAATTGTGGTGTTAGAAGACAAAAGGGCGAATAGTTATGCTGGTGGGCAAATAACAACGCCTAGAAAATAAAAAGTGGAACACCATTTAACGTTATACTAGCCCATGAGGCGTCACTAAAATCTCCGTAACAAAATGCAGCTTTGGCACAGAATGCCTTTCAATGCATCTTTAATTCAGGATTCTACCTTGCAGGCATTCTCAGATCCAGCCGAAAAGGTAATGGAATTGCTACTCCTACAGCAGTGCAGAAACCGACTGAGTGAATTGTTCTTCACTGAATGCCTCCGAAAAATTTCATCTAAAGTTCCCTCGTCTTCTCAGCATTCGAGGCGACACTACCTGCTCATGTTGCCCGCCTTCCAAAGGCATGCTCAAGTTGTGCTTCTCACTTTCATGTGGCCTTTTTGGGTATATGACAAGCGCAATCTGGCTATTTGGATAGGAATCGCAAATTTTAATGAACTCTTGCTGATATCCTCAGCAAACAAATGCATTCTACACCCTCAACTTCCCTCTGCCTTCATGACCTCGCCACAACTTGCGTCTACCGGTTTTTTACACTTGCCTAATTTTTGCTTTCTAATGTGTGTATTCATTTTTATTGCTTTCAGTCTTTTTGTGTATGCCATTGATTAAATTTGCTAACTTTTTTATTCTTAGCAACCCCTTGCACCTCCTTCTTTTAATCAGTGGATTTGGTTTAAGCTGAGGTATTATTTTTTTTTCGCTTTTGTCTCTTCAGCATTATGATCTCATTGAAATAATGTGTTTTCGAGGCCTAGCACTCTTTCCTGCAACCGTATCAACCGTTTTTAAACCTCATCTGTTAACGGATGTAAAAATGAGTTCTATCATGCTTAAGTCAATTTTTTTGCATTGTTGTGTATTGGTGCCTTATTGAAAGTGGGCACGCATATTCCCTGATTTGGGAGCGATTAAAATGGCATTTAAGTTCGCTCTTTTCCAGGTGGCTGAGCAAGATGGAAGTGCGAGAAGTTTGTCAGAAGGTGGCGATCTTTCTAAGGCTAATTTACTCCATAACTTGCACATAAAAACTCCCAGTAATCGGTTTTTGTCAATTCAATTTTTGGAACAAAGAGAAAGGTTGGCTAAGGTAATCGTGCAAAAAATAGTAAAAATGTAAACCTCATTGGTTATATAATTAGCCAAGATCGTTATGGCGCCCCGAGACAAAGTAAGACATAATGCTAAGGAAAAATGTGCATTGTTGACCCAAAGAAGGGCCTGGGGGCTACTGACAA